TTGAAGTGTTGTACAACCAAATGTTTGATATTTTTGACCTCTTTATAGGTCAGATTTTTGTGGGATGATTTCATATGCCTGTGGAATCTGATGGCGAGCTGCCTTGACACAAGAACCTTTTTTGTGAAGAATTACCCATGCTTCTGAGTCGGTAGGAACTGTGGACTCTGAATGAACTGTTATGGACTCTAACTTTTTGAATATATTGGGTATTTGTTTTCCTTTCTATTTGAGTTGTAATTGAAGGGCCTTCATGACCAATGTTGTTGTTTTCTTTTTTGTGGATCTACTTGTATAACGAATTGTCTTTTTTGGTTGTTTGTTTTGTTGACTTCAATACAGTATAATTTTCTCCCTTTTAAAACCTTGTGTTTGTGGTCAATGGCATCCAGTGTTGTGTTGGGCTCCTTCAGAACCCAGTCTTTGAGATTAAATTTTCTAACTTAAAAATAAAATAACCAATACAGGAGGTTACACTCTGCCATGAGGAAGTTCAGCTTAAAGACACGTCCCAGGGGCGTTTCTGGTCCCCACCTGTCGTTTTGCTCCTCAGCATGGCTTCATAAAAACACTGCAGGATTTCTCAAACATGCATGAATGAGTCAGAGCAAGGATTTGGGCATGTTTTTTGAGAGTATAACCTTATAACATGATATAAAACTCAAAAGTTGATTTCAAGTGATATTGCCCATTTAAAAATGATTGTGTCCACTTGTTTCATTATGAAAAAGTCTCATGAACAAACTGTTTCCCTCTTTTCTACTGTGAGGTCTCATTTTAAAAGTTTTGAAGATGAAAGCTCAGTCGGGATGTTTACAGCAAGCCTTCACTTCTCTTTGATCAGATCACTGGAAACTTCATTCTACTTGCTGTTCTTTAACAGAAGAGAAGAAGCAATAATTAACCAATGATTTGGTGGAAGTGGAACAAAAACATGGATGTGAACATGAGCAGAAAAGAGAACAGATTATAGAAATGAATAGATGGCTAAGGAGGAGATGCAGAGTGTGTGTCGAGACTTTTTCATTCAGGAAGTTGATCCATTGAGCAGCCTGTCGTAAATCACCTCGAACACTCATCAACTGTGATCTTTCCCTCTTTAGACATTTGCACTTGTTTCTGTCTGGATTGATCTCACCATATCTTGACGATATAACTGTATAAAAAAATAATATAAATAAAAAATAACAAATGTTTTTGTTTTTTTTTTCTCAAAAGAGTACATAAAAGTAAAATCCGCAAATAGAAAAAAAATGATTAGGGCTGTGAAATTAATCGAGTTAACTCTGATTAATTTTAGTGCTGCTTGAGCATAGATTAAAAATTTTAATCTTGATTAAAATTTACAATCACTTCACTCTGGCTAAATATGTAGGTTTGTATATTGCAATGCACTCAGTGCCAGGGCATGTTTGTAAATGAGAAGTGGTTCTCAAACTGTTTACCTGGATAAATAAAGGTTAAATAAATAAAATAAATAAAAAAACTCCATGTGTGACACATTATGTACAGTTTT